AATGAGCCCGTGTAAAATTTATTTCTGTATTTCAAAAATGCCCATAAAGAACGAAAATGAGTCCAATGTGTGGTTGGGTGGTCGTGCTCTTAAGGTCTTTGTCTGATTTCTAATTTCAGGAAATTCCATTTATAAGCATTTATTTTAGATGAATAGCCAAGTTCTTTTGCCTGAAATTTGCTCCACGAATACTGGGTGAAGGAACTCATGGGTCATGGGATATTCTCGGGCGCCAAAGCAAATTAGCACGCGAATTATTACTTATTCATCTAGAAATGCACTAAATGATGGTTGTACTTGTGCATCATCATCTAAGCCTTGAGTCAATTATATGGGGGTGGGCTACATCAAATACTATTTAGCCATTCTGTTCTGTCCAGAGCCCAGCCCATTGCAGTACCATCATTGTGCATTTCTGCCAAACTTTCAATTATGTGAGTACAAGACCCTACGTTCCTAACCAATATGATCTAGCTCTCAGCATAGCATGGACCAAGAACAAAATTCAGCGGTCTAATATCCTATGGCAATTGTTATCACCTCTCACTCCATTGTTCTTCATAATTAATTAAAATAGTCCCTCACTAATTGTATGGATGGCATAACAGTGAGTCCTTTGTCCCTGATTGTACGCGTTTCATTGAACACAAATAGCAATAAACAAGCTACAAACCTACAAGACGGTACAAGTAGTAGATTTGTGCTTTTTTGGGTTTCTGATTGTTGCTCAATTGATATGATCTCTGACTCGTAACAGAGACCTGGGAGCAAATGCCGCTGCCACCAGGGTTGGGGGTTAAGGGGTTACGTTACCCCTGTTGTGTAGTTCCATGACATTCCATGAACACACCCCAAAAAAATGTATTAGACCGAATAGTTTCTTGTATCGTTTTCACATTTTGATTTTTGTTCTGACTATTTAATTAAAAAGCTCTCGTTCTAATACCGAGGATCATATTTATGTTATTTTAACCAGAAGATAAAAAAAGGCTGTTTTATTGCCTCCACCGGTGCTAATTGAAAGTTGAAACTGGTTGGCTATCTAATTGGTGCTGAAGAGTGAAGAGTGAAGACTTGACTTGGTAACAAAAGTCTTATTCAGAACCGACTCGGTGACTAGAAATCACTCGTGTTGGTTAAAAATTCCATTGTTAAAGAAGACAAGGTTTGAGAAAACTCAAAAATATTCAAATTCAAAGCAGATTAGTTTAAGTTTAAACACTTGAAACGTTTTCAGAACAAAGATACACGTCCATGACACTTAAAGGGAAATGTTTTGTGGTCTAACCAACATTTAAAAGTGAAGCACCATTCCAAGATGAATCCACGGTTATCTACTAGATTATCTTGTGACATCAACTGTGTTTGTCCATTAGACCATTACTAAACATCATCAGTTCCACAAGCTTCTTGTCTACAAGATTGCCACGTCCAAATAATCTCCAATCTTCATGATCAGAATGAAATGATAATGAGTAAACATTCCAATTCAAATAAACATGGAGCCACCAAGAACTACAAATTTACCTGAAAACTAAGTTCAGCCAGTGCCTTGCTGTCATCCAATCGTCTCCCATTTCCATAAGAATGAGTCATTCCCACCTACACAGTAATATTAGAAATCATTAATAATTAGAACTGATTTGCCATCGACAATATTGAATGTGTTTATGTTACTTTGTGTGCAACATGAGGTTATACCCAGTATTTGCATCTAAGTATGGCTGTAAGCCGGTTGAACTTGTATAAGATCTACCTATATTTGAAACTGATCCAGTTAATATTTGGATTTTGAGTTGAATATTATCCACCAGATTCAGATGGAATGGGATTGGGCTCCAATATTATAAATCATTAATAAATCAAGGTAAAAAATGACCCAAATATTACATTTTATTCATAAAAATGAACTGACCAGAGATACAAGCCAATTATAAACGGATTGGCTTTTGAGATCCAAATCCAGCTTAATTAGATCAGATTATACTACCAAAATATATACCTTGTATATTTAGGAAACTACTTAAATGTACCTATGCTTGGGTCTGACCAGTGCATCATCCCTTGCTCCTTAGATTCAAAATAACCTGCTATAAGATCAGGTGACTCCTAGTTCTAGCTTTATTGGGAGGTTGATTTGCACTGCACAATGCCACCATCAGACCCAGACCTCTCTCACAATCTCTGGTCATTGTCTATTTGTCTTTCTCTGGTTCAGGAGGCTGTTGGGGATGCCTTAACACCCATTAGAGCTTATAGTTCCATCTGAAAATCAATCTGCTAGCACCCCCATCGTTTTCTCCCCTCGTTGTTTCCAAAACTCACCTAACAATTATCTAACAGCAAACATTATGGGGGTTCATTCATTCACCATGAAACTTGAATTCCTCATTGCAATGGTGGCTGATTACCTCTTTGTAGGGGATCTAGGGGTCTTGGTTGGGCACCACCCATTGCTTAAAACTCAGTCAAGTCTAAAACTTGACCTGTTACAGTTCTATTATCATATATTCATATCCTATTCAAAGCTTTGAAACCTGATTAGCATACTCCAATATGGCTCTCGTATCATTTGAAGGCGAAATTATGGGGGTTATCATCACCTCATTTTCTTGCAGGTGTTGGCCAGTGATGGCTGGCTGAAGATGGTCTCTGGTTGGTTTATCCACAATACACAGAACATGGAAGGATGCACTCTGACTCTTAAGTGCATATTTTGAAAACTAGATGAAGAACCTAGTAGGGAGAGAGAGAGAGAGAGAGAGAGAGAGAGAGAACTAGGTAGCTGCCGCTCCCTGTTTGTTTGGCGGCCACCAAGAGATTGAAGCAGAGGAAGGAGAGAATAGGAGGGGTAAAAGTGGGATTATAAACCATTTTAATGGTCATATTAAACGGTTTTAAATGTTTTCCTAATAATTGGCCTGTTTATGTTATTTGGGGCCATCCTATAAGGTATATAAATAGGTTTGAAAGTACAGGGTACATTTAAGTAGTTTCCTAAATATATAGGGTACAACTAACTACTCTCCTAAATATACAGGGTATATTTAAGTAATTACCCCAAAAAATTATACTTTACCTGTTTAAAAAAATTATCAGATTTTGAGTATAGCCTCAGAAACTCAGGTACTGCTTTTTTTTATTGGTGACACTCAGGTATTGTTAATGGCCCTATATCCTTTTTCATTATCCACAAGATTCAAATCACTAATCTCAGGTTGAAAGAATCAAAGAACTGAACAGGCTCTATAGTCACATCTGTGCAATGACTGTTGAAACAGATGACCAATACCAGTACCATAGTCTTGACCTGCCTGTAATACAGACATTGAATAACAAAAGGAAAAAAATGTGTTTATGCAGTTTTATACTTTGCCATGGAATTTAAGGGCACTATGCCAGACAAGGTTTTCTGAAAATACAGAAGGTTTTGTGGTGTTACTAGTGTCCTGTGACCTAAGGGCATCGCGACACATTCTCATGAAGCTAGTATTGGTCTCTTTGGGAATCATAATGTAGCTTTTTTTAATCAAAATCATATTGTAGAATTTTGAAATATGCCATCATTCCCACGATCAAAGATTCAAATGTCATGGTTTTGACATATCATCAGGTCCAATTGCATAGATATCATAATCTCATTTACATAATGGGGTTCAAAAGGTGGTTGATTTCCATGATAACAGGTTAAATGGACCAGGAGCCTAAATATCAAGTCATAGCAACTGTGGTGAAGGTCTTCACAAGAGTAGCTGTAGCAATTTTATTGCTGGCCAATATTTTTGTATTACAGATTCCAGTGTGAGTAAACCAACTTCCTAAAACACTAAAAACTTAGAGTGGATAGAAGTAAATACATAAACAGTTCTTAGGGATTAGATGGAACACACCAGGTGCTAATAAGATCATTCGTTTTATATTCTAAATGCATCCCTTTGAAGAATAACATATGGACATCAAAGTTGCATGGATATGATACAGCCATGCAGGGTACAAGCAGTACAGAAGCCAGGGGAAACCAGTAATATGTTTCCATATTTGCAAAAGACAACAAGCCTACTGGGCAGATCCCTTCTTTTTGGTTGGACATACACTGAATTGAAAATGGATAGGGCTCAAAAAGAAATGGGTGAAATTCTACTTGCCTGTCTAACCACATAACGCCCATGTTTATCAGGATATACAAATGCAAATGACAACTTTGCGTCTCTTCTCCTTGCTGCGGGAGCAACCTCTTTGACCTAGAAAAAAAAGCAATCATTAACTAAATAGCATAAACAATAGTTTGTTCAGAGAGAGACTAGAAGAATAACATACCAGATCTGTCAATTCACGAAGAGTAGCATCCTTCCATGTATAAATTTGGACTTCCTCCTTGGGCTCTTTTCCCCTCACTGCAAAATCTTCCTTGGCATGATGGCTTCCAATCTGCAAATAATTGAAAAGCAGAAAATGATGAAACTTTTTGATGTGGAGAAGATGAAAACCAAAGAAGTTCTAACAAGAACTAACAAGCTATTCTTTCATTTTGCTCCTACCACCAATCTACTGCCATTCTTAATTGTTGGGTTTACCAAAACAGATATTGAAGCAAATCAATCTATTAATTAAATAATAGTAACAACTAGAAAAAATAGAAACAGAGAAAGTAGTGGAGACTTTTGGGTAAAATCCTTTGAAAACAAGTTTAGTCTTGCTGACTGTGTGATGTTCCCATATAGAACAATTTGGAAAACTCAGGTATCACAAAAAACAGTGTTCATTTCATGGACACTAGCATTAGGCAAGCATGTTAACTTGGGCCATGTTCATTTCTAGATGTATGCTGGCTGTAGTTCTGCAACTAGGAACTTGAACAGGCAGACCAATGATGTAATCATAGCTGGCTCTTTGGCTTGTATTTACTTTGTTGTTGCCATTGTTGTTTTTGATTTCTTTTGAAGGGCTATACAACTGGGGGTTGCCCATCCCCCATCCATAACCCCCCCAACCCAGGTGCAGGCAGGATTCAATACCAAGTCTCCACTACAACCAGCAGGAAACCTTACCAACCAGCTGGTTGGCACCTTGCATTGTTGTTTGTAATAAATATTTATCTTTTCTCAATAATATAATAGTAGTAGTGTACTCTGAGTGTTGTTGACTTTTCACTGGTGAGGTTAGATTAAGTTTCAGGTAAAACCACAAAGAACCCATCTCTTAACTATAACTATAACTAATGACCATTGACCTGCAAACAACAGATTCATCAAATTGTTGGAGCTAAATGGATGCTAGAGTGCTAATTCCAAGAATAACTAGCAGTATCATGTCTGCATTCTCCGGTATCCACTTAGGGGGTGTTCAACAACATGAACAAAACCAACCATGTTGTCTTTAATTACTTATATTTAATTAGATAATGTTGTATTAGATTTTACATCATTCAATAGAAAAAGTTAGTACATATAAAAAAAATAAAAGAAAAAGGTTAATAGCCAAGACTATGAAATCATTTAATGACGCATATATACTAAGCATACAAATTATTTTGTACCCCTTCTAAATCCATCTTATACCACACATCTGGAGACTAGAATATTATCTGCGGGACCATCTTATACTGACAGAGGGTATCCACTGGAAATGACATAGTATTCCAGGTGTGTCACATATGATGCATCTGTAAGGGGAACCAAAGAAGAATAAATGTATATATATATATATAAAAGATGTTGCCATTTTGGAAAGTGTAGCGCAGAAAATCCAGTATCACTTCACTTGACTGTTTTTTATCAGAAACAGTAACTTTCATTAGAAATATTTAAAAAATACACTATCACCACCCAAAATAAGGGTGTTGAGCCTTAGAAAAATGCTTTCGAATTACAGAACAGCCCAAAACAAGTTATCCCCGAAAGTTCCTTGCTTTGCCAGGGTGTCAGCTAATCCATTTGTTGACCTCCTTGTCCACCTGAACAGTACCCCAACCTCCCTTGCTAAGATATTTACTTCTCTCATGAGTTGTTGATGTACCCAGACCCCCAAATTGTGTGACTGCATCCACCCAATTAATAATTTAGAGTCTCCTTCTGCCTCAATTTGGTGTAGGCCCCACTGCTTAGCCAACCTTAAGCCTTGGAGAAGAGCCAAAATCTCTGGTCCTTAAAGTCTCCAACACCTATTGGACCAGAACACAGTGCAATCAATCTGCCCTCCCTATCTCTAAAAGCTCCACCCACTCCAGAGGGACCCGGATTGCCTAAAGAGCTCCCATCAAAATTCAGCTTCACTCCTATAAAAAAAAAAAATCAGCTTCACCCACTGTTGTGTAGGAGGAATCCATTTTTCCTTTATCACAGCCTTCAACGAAGAACTTGCAACAATGTTCCAGCCTCTAAACAAGTCCTCAGCTGAATAGTCTTTAAAATAAAGGAGGAAGATTTGAGCCAATGTATGACCTTGGTAGTTATGAAGTCAATGACTTGCAGTTGCTCCTTAGATCTTTTGGATCCTTGGAAGATTCTATTGTTTCTGTTGTGAGAGTTGTTTATTTTGTTATTTAGCAGTTGTTGGTAGCATGCTGTCAGCCTAAGATGCTGTCATCCAGTGTCTTATTTTCTTCTTATTTGTTTGTTAGTAGGGAGTGCCGCCAGGGGCATAATTGTATTTTTTCTTATTCTTTATATTAAGCAGTGTTTTTAAAAGGCGTGGGAGACGTATGCCTGGAGGCGAGGCGCTCCCAAAACGCCTTGAGGCGTATGACAGAGGCACTGACACCTCTGAGGTGTACGCTTCCTGCACTTTTTTCATGAGGCATGCTAGAGGCGTACGCCTCATGCACATCTTATATAAAAAGACAGAAAAAAAAAAGAAAAAAGACAAAAAGGAAAGGAAAAGGAAGGGAAGGGAAAGAAAAAGAAAGAGAAGAAAAAAAAGAGAAAAGGAAAGAAAAGAAATGGAAAGGGAAGGGAAGAAAAAATAAGGGGAAAGAAAGTGATTTGCCCCCTGCCCCTTCGGCTTGGGGGCAAAGCCCCCCAGACCCTCCGCCCCCTTTTCGATGCAGCCCAATTTGTTTTTCTGAGTTAGGGGGGTCTTGTCGAAGTGGAGGTGACAAGACCCCCCCCCCCCTTTCATCTAATGTTATGCATCTTTATTCTTCTTAATATAAAAGATTTTTATTAAAAATAAAGAAAAAATGAGATCCCCCCTTACTCTTCATCCTCCTCCTAACCCCCTCCTCTTAAGGAGGCTTATGCCTTCTTGTGTTCGGGCTTATCCTCTCTCTCGTCTCTCCCTATCCAGAAAAAAATTACATGGTATCAAAGCAAGGTTCTGGGCGATAAAGAATCTTTCTCAGTTTTTTCGTTTCTTTCTCTCTTGATCTCTTGGACGTGTGGAGGACAAAGAAACCTAATCAGACTGATCAGGCCACTTGCCGCTGCTTTCTTTGGGATCCTCCTTGGTCGTAACACCAAGGAAGCCCTAGTAGAAGAAGGGCGATGCTGTAAACACCTCTCTTCTCCTTGTTCGATGCTGTGAAGGTTGTCCGATGCAGTGAGAATTGGTTTCTGGGTTTGCACCTTCGAACAGGTGCTAGGACAGGGGTATGCATTCCCTTTTTTCTCTGTGGCCAATGCAGTGAAGGCCTTGGTTTTTTGATTTACACCTTCGTACAGGTGTTAGACAGGAGTATGGTGTTTTTTTTTTTTTTGATCAATAAGTATGGTGTTTTTTTTTTATCACAGACAGGAGTATGTGATGTAGTTGAATTGTGATTGATTACTGGGTTGTTCTAATGGCCAAACCAATACTGGACTGATTACTGGTTGTTGTAGTGGAATTAGACTAATTACTGGGCTGTTCTAATGGCGGGACTATTGCTGGACTGATTTCAACAGTCTTTTTTCCTCATTCCAGAAGTAGAATTCTTGGGGGTTTAGCATTCTGATTGTGTGGGATCAGATCTGGTACACTTATGATTCTGTTTTTTTGTAGTGTAGACCCTCTCCCTCAATGGCAAACTATGATCCAACATCATCTGGGGTTACACCAACCCATAAGACAGCTGGTGTGGGTGGTGAAAACTTGATGTTTCCCATGCCAATTACCCCTCTAAATGGCCTAAACTACCTGGAGTGGGCTAAAAGTGTGAAACTCTGTAATAGCAAGGGGAAAAACTGGTTACATAAATAGAAGAGTGAAAGAACCCAAGTGTGAGACAGCTGAACATGATAGGTGGGACCAAGAAAACAGTATGGTGATGTCTTGGCTCCTTGCAACTATGAAACCCGATGTGAAGAAGAACTTTGTGTGGGCAGACACCGCTAGTGAGATTTGGGAATAGGCCAAAACCACCTATTCTGAGCAAAGGCATTATGCCAAGATTTACCAATTGCAAGTTGAATCTTCAACCTGTAAATAGGGGAACCATAGTTTGTCTGTCTATTATTCAGCCCTTATTTCAGTGTGGAAAGAATGGGATTACTATCAGACTATAGAATAGAAACATGATGATGATGATAAGGCCTATAAGAAGCTAGTTTCTCAGCAGTGTATTTTTGCAAACTTGTTGGGACTCAACCCTGCTTACGAACCCTTGAGAGTTCAGATATTAGGAAGTAAAGAGTTGTCGTCGGTTCAAGAGGTGTATGCTCTTGTTCAATCTAAGGAAAGTAGGCGGAGTGTGATGGTTACAACTGAGGAGGAGCAACAAGTAGCATTGGCTGCAATGGGTAATAACAATATGGGCAAGAAAAGTGACTCCAAGAAGGCTGATGATAAAGATATGTTGTTTTGTACCCATTGTCAGCGCTCGAAACATACTCATGACACATGTTGGGAGATTCACGGGAAGCCCAAGTGGGCAGTGAAGAACCAAGAACAGGGTAAAGTGCAAGGTCAGAAGAAGCCGAATACAGCAAATAATGCAGCACATGTGACAACTCAGGATACTCAGTTTGCTAGTACTACAGGGGACCACTTGACTAGTCCTAACCCCAAGGAAGATATCATGAATTCTTTCAGAGATCACTTGGGGTCATATGGTAGGGCTTTGCGACAGATGGATAGTTTAGTTATTGGTACTCCTACTTCATTTGTGTCTACATCAAGTAATGCGGCCTCTGCATTCCATGTCACCACTACCACTAACTCCCCTTGGACATTGACTCAGGGGCCTCTAACCACATGACCGGTAAGCCAAACTTGTTTCAGACTTATAACCTTTTGTCAGGAAGGGATAAAGTGAGGCTTGCAGATGGATCATTCTCCTCCATTGTAGGCCAAGGAACAATATCCCTTCCCCATGGCCTTAACCTGAATTGTGTATTGCATGTCCCTCAACTTCCTACAAATTTGCTTTCAATCAGTAGTATTACAAACTCTTTAAACTGAAGTGTAACCTTTTTTTCCTGGCTCATGTGTTTTTCAGGATCTAACTTCTGGGA